CTCGTTCAAAAAATTATTTTCATCAACTTAAACTACGAGGTTATACGAATAATCTGTAAACAGTATCTTATTAATTATTCGTCATTTTCAACATTAAAAACCCTATGGAGACGTCTTGTTACTTCACGTAGGTTACATGGATGCATTATACTTTAAGAAATTTTACGTTGAAATAAAGGAACGTAGAAAAGTATAATGGAACGCCTCGGGTCGTTTGGGACGATAAAGTAAGAGTCTTCTTCTTCTGTGCTACCGAAGAAACAAGAAGAACAAGAAGAAGAAGAAGTAGAAGAAAAAAATATGAAATTAAATGATTAACCTGCAAAAAAGCTTTTCTTTGTTACTCCTAATAGGAAACTTAATCTTGTGATAGCTAGATTCCTTCAGTATCTTTTTTTCTTCTTCTTCTTCTTTTCTTTTTTGTTAAGCTCTATAAGTTGACAAGGACGCTTCTTTGCGTAACGTAATTTAAGCACATTTTAACAAGCAAATTTCTAAAGGATATTTTTCTTATAAAATAGAATGTAATTTAAACTCAAGTAAGATTAGACTAGCCTGTTTTAGTTCTCGTATTTGTACCCAGGTCACAGCCTTATTGTTCCATATTTAATCGAAGTAATCAATAATTTATTGATTATTAAAATATGAATAAAAAAGTTTTGTTATATTAATAAAATTTTCCAAAACAAAACAAAAATAAGTGAAAATATTGGCAAATACGATAAACAATTTTTAGAAACGTATTGATAGCCCCCAATAATGGTCAATCCTCAATAGATGACAGGAGAGTAAAATAAGGGTCGAAGTACGTGGGCGGTGTACTTTCATGAACTTTATATAGCAACCAATCGTAAACTCGGTAACCCCCGTGGGCGATATAAGCTTCGCACTCACCCCTTCCATTTGAAATTTCGACGAAACGTTTCTACGACCTCACTCACTCACTCACTCACTCACTCACTCACTCACTCAGTCAGTCTCGTTCTTCTCTATTCTTTCATTCCTTTCCACTGTCGAATGCGTTTCGCTTGACTTTCAATTTCAAACTCGTATGAGAAGTTCGATCGATCCTAGCCATGTTATACAGATCGTAAAATAGGAAACGTCATTTTAAAGCCCGTTTATTCTCTTTCTCGTTCTAACGTCAAAAGTAAATCCCATGACAATGAATCGTAATTTCTTGACTGTTTCCTATACAGACGTGCGTTAGCAAATATTCCTCAAGATCAATCTTCTCTTTCTTATTCCCATTTACAATTTTCAACGATGATAAAATTCATTATAGAAAAAGATAAAATAAAAAAAAAAAACACACATTGTTAGAAAATATCATCGTATCAAGTATAACGTTTTCATAAGTATACAAATAATTCTTCAACAAAATTTTTCGAAGCATCGAAACACAACAACGTCCCACGTTGTGTTACATGTTAGATGCTTATAAAAGTGATGACCGAGTTAGATTAATCCAAACCACGGTGAATTCAATCAACCAAGTCAAATGAAATTGGACTAAGTTTGTAAGTAAGTGCACTCATAGCAAAAGTCAATAAGTCGTTTAATAAACGAGTATTTAACAAACGACAATGTTGTGTTTCGATCATGCATTTTCTACCCTTGTGGTGGTCGTCGTTAGCGCGTGTCGATCAAAGGAAAAAACAAAAAAAAATAAGAAGTAGGAAAAATATATAAATAAAAAAGAAAATAAAAGACAGCTTTATGATAGACCGCAGTGTATTTAAGAACAAAAGAAAAGAGTTAGACTAGACGCGATATAAGTATAAATACTCGGCACTCGGTAGTCAAGTACTGACCTAGTTACACCTTAACTACTCCTCCTATGTTAATTTAACGAAGGCAAAATGCGCGGGCAGCCTCTTATCGCAACGGGGGTAACTCTCCCCAACCTCCTTTTTTTCTCTCAATTTCTCTCTCTCTCTCTCTCTCTCTATCTATCTATCTCTCTCTTATTCAAGTGAAACATTCTATGTAAAGTGGGCCCTCCTACGGTTACAAAGCGGCGCGTGCTATGTCAATGAAATGTACGTGAATTCAGTGCTGGTGTACAAAAAAGGAGACCGATGAGAGGGGGATGGGAGAGGGGAAGGGTGAACTGTGTAGAACGTCCAAGATAAACGTCGCTGCTCGTGATGTTATGAAGGGAGAAATATAGGAGATCGATAGCTACTATGCTGTGGTACCTGATAGAAATACACACATATATATATACACACACACCAACAAAGAGAATGAAAGTACTGATATTGAGCTTGATAATATATTATATAATACCCTACTTTATATATATAATATATTACAACAAAAAATATATATATAGATGTATGTATTTTATATTAGGATATATAATTATATTTTATTAGGGGGAGGGGGAGGGATAGGGAGGAGAGGGAGGAATTTCTTTATTAACTTGTAGGAAATTAAAATAAAAAAATCCACGATATGAGTTTATACGGTTGAGTGGATTTTTCGGATATAAAGTGCGAATTCCTCCGTAAGTTAACATATGTGATCATTCTGTTTCGTATGTCCACAGTTAATAAAAACTGACACATTTATTTTTCACGCGTTATCAACCTCGTGTAACATATATCACCGTTGCCTTCTGACTAATGGCGTGGTATTTTATTTTATTTTTTTTATTTATTTATATATATATATTTTTTTTTTTAATCGTAAGGATTACAAATAAAACAGAGACACCTGAGTGGCTATACTATTTCATAAATCATCGAAACAAAAAAATGAATTTTGGAAATGGTAACAAAGTAGGATGGTACTGGGATAGTGTCAATACAAAGTTGAGAAGAAAAGAATACGCCCATATCCATTTTTCTTGTTCAGATATTTTCAACAGTGTAAAAACGCGACGATATTATGTTTATAGGACGCTTTTATGTTTGTCTGATGCTTACCGATACCAACACCCTCCCACTTTCACGACTTGTTGAAGAATTCGACTCGTCACGCTACTATTATATTACACTTTCTTTCTCTTCTTATAGCATTTTTTCCACGTTTAATATATATTTTTTTTTTTTTGTTACTTTTTGCAGATCTATTCTATTCTTTTCTATTTTCTTTCAACTATTGGTTCTAAGGTTCTTTTATCTTCTTTTCTTCGATGTTTCTCAAACAGGGTAGTTACATACCTTACTCATATTTCCCTTCTCTCTCACTCACCTACCCCCACACATATATACACACAATTATACTCTTCTACATTGACTCAGAAAACTTTTTTAAAAAGTACTCCTTAGCCGGATCGTTATAGTTATACAAAAAAAAAAAAAAAAAGAAAAAAGAAGAAAAGAAGAAAAATAACTTAAAGTGTCAAGTACAGGGTAATACCCGTTAGCGCTTTGACCTTTTATTGATCGAATCTTCTTCCTTCTTTTTTTTTTTATCATAATCGAATATGTACTTTGAGAATAGGTAGCGAACGAGTTCGTTGATGAAAGATAACAAGGTAATTCGAAAAGGGGGTTTTTTCATTTTTTTTTTTTTTTTTACCAACCAGCTTGGTATCGGACAAATCGCATCTCTGAAAAATTAACCAGTCACGTCGTAACCCCGCCGTAGGGTAGCCCTTTTGCGAATAGGAGCTGCGACTCGCCCTAATACAGATTTATTGCCGTCTAAGAGCCGGAGCTGGGCGTCCTAATACAGGTATTACGCTGACGCAGGCACCAGGAATTTACACGAAATTGGAGGTAATTTGTAGGAGTCGAGCTCGTTCCACCCTCTCTGTTCAACCCCCCACTCCTCTCTCTCTGTCTATGCTTACAACCGTCTTCCTTTCTCTCTCGAGTGCACACGTACAAATGCACACAAACATGTCTATACAGGTATACACGAACGCGTATCCTCCTCACCCTATCTTCTATTACGTGTRCTCCTCTCTCTCTCTCTCTTCTCTCTCTCTCTCACTTGGGGATTCGTGCCGTACCGTGGTTGCCTCCTGTGCCCGTTTGCCTACAGCTCCAGCAGCCAACCCGTCCTCACGATATGTAACTCCAGCAAAGGCTATCTAATTGAATGCACCTGCTCTATAGGTAACGTACCACATACGCTTCCTAATTTATGGTCCGTGCCGTTAATTAAAATATGGCCACTCGTGTCGAACTGTATATATAGAAATAAATAAAAGATTTATTTTTCACCCACCACCTTCCCCCTTTCCCAATTCGAAGAGGATGAAGTAAAAGAAGAAGAAGAGGAAGAAGAAAAAGGAGATTTTTTTTGTCCTTTTTTTTTTCTTTTTTCGTTCGATTGACCCAGCAGCAATCGTTTAACGTTTACCGTTCGTATCGAAAGAGGAGTACGAGAATTGATTATTGAAGGTTTACTTTTGGTCTGAGGTTAGCTCGAACGTTTAACGCGATTCATCAAGGATCAAATTTATTCCTGGTTATTAAAGTCAATATTTTATCGCATATCTCGTACCGGAGACCGCAACAAATTGTCTTGCGTCTAGACCGATCGATGTCAAACTGATTTAGAATTTCCGTCTGCTATTGCGAATAATTACTTTATGCATTAACTCTCGTTACCCCTCATCGATCGATACTTTTATATACATATAAAGAAGAGAAATTGAGAGAAATAATCAAATAGAGAAAAAAAGAGAAAGAGGAGATAATTTATTTAACGGAAGGAATGGCTTTAAAAGTAATAAAAAGTGAGATAAACACCGACGCGGCACATGGTACCATGAATTGCTTGCTGTTGAATTCTCTAACAGCAAAAGTATTCCAGGACCGATACGAATTCGGATGGAAACAATTATATGACTTCAACTAAAAACAAACCCATTTATTAACGTTCCCGTGTAAAAGATAAGGGGATAGGGAGAGAATGGAATTCGTTTCTCTCTCTTTCTCTCTCTTTCTCTCTCTATGGGTTGTAACAAAATGACCACTTTGTGTTGGGCGTTCGACACAAACATTGGATTATACGTGATACCATTGTTCTTCCCTTACCTAGCATGCTTCGGCCCAAGACTGGGATCATACATGGAGCTTGCCGTGATGTCTTCATTGGGGATTTCACCGCTCTCCATGCCCAGAGCGTTGGTGCATTGTCCTGAAACAATTGGAGGACCTGTATTAAACCAGAGATCAATGTCAATCTGTACGTCGTTAACTTCTAACTGATTGTACGAGTCTATGACACAAGTATATAGACCAGGATGAGAGAATCCATGCAAATTAATTACGTAAATGCTTTTAGTTAACCATGAGGTATATACTCTCAGGTACGTGATAGTAATCAAGTTCAACGGAGATAACGAATTACAAATACAGATAATACTATCGCGCCTAGCTTTGTTCCATTCTGTATGAGCTAACGTTTCCGTGGAAGAGAGGATGATAGTACAGGAGGCAGGACAAGAGGTTGTAACGATGAAAATGTTGGTAACACACAGGTAGGCAAGTCCATGATAAATCGTCGAGTTTGCAGGGAAGTCATGTACAACCAGAAAGAGAGAGCGAGCGAGAGAGAGAGAGAGAAACAGTGAAAGATAAAGAGTAGGGCGGGGAAGAAGAGGAGGTTCGAGGGGTAAGGGAGGGTTAGCAACAGCAAGTTGCGATACGCTGTTGCACTTAAGCTACGGTTCTGCAGTTACGTGGCAAAGTTTCAAAATTGCAGAATGCAGCGGACGTGGGATTAGCCGGACGGCTCTTCGCGCGACCTATCCTACTGGGTTACCTTCGCACACTCTCCCCCTTCCCCCTACCCCCCGTTCTCTTTTCTACCCCTCTTGCTATCTCCTCTCATATCGTCTCCCATGTTACACCATCGGAATATAACTTTGTGAGTATTTGTAACAATGCTTTACGTTGTTTTACTTAACCTTACAGACAACCTAGTGGATATACCACCATAGAGGCATAGATCTACATACTTGCATTCTAGTCTACCCGTTCGACTTTCAATGTTTCCATTAAGCTCTAGCCTGATTACAACACAGGAACTTCAATGATAAAGGTTTTGGTTATGTGGAACTAGATCAGAAATCGTTCCTGAAGCCCCCATTGTTTCTTGAGTGACTAAACTAGCTGTTGTGATATGCAAGCCTTTCGTTAAACTCCAACGAATACTGAAGTTTCTCTACAAATAGAAGTACTTATAACATACTCAACTAGTCTCACTAGTTATATTCTCCCAAAAGCTTATTTATCCGTAGAGCTTAGAATAATTCTGAGTAAACTAGGAAATTTCTCGTATAATTCAACATGTGATTTTTGGATGACGTCATTGAAACTTTAATCCATTCATCCATCCAACTATCTATCCCACCCATTCATTCATCCATCCATCCATCCATCCATCCATTCGTTGGGTGATGAAATCAAAGATTGTACGCGTAATCTCTTTAATACGGTAGATACGTTTTGAATAGTTAGCTAGCTAGGTGGCAAACAAGTTTACTCGCTTTATATAGCGCATAAACGAAGAAAATTCAGTTCGTGGTACGGATTGATAACCATTACGAAGCAGCAACGCGGCTAGGTCTCATGTCCCAATGCAATAAGTCACTTTGACGTGTCGCGACGTTCTAGACGCAACGCGTTTTAACACGTCGCGTGCATAACAAATGGTCCGAACGAATCGCGACACGATCGATATGTTGCCATCACACAGAACTATTGTGTATATACGTGTGGTACACGTCATTGAACGAGATCGATAGGCGGTCCACCGGTATGATATTTTAGTACAAACGCTTTTCCCGTCCCTACAACAATGGATTGTCGTCGTGTGCCTTAGAAAATACTAAAATCCGGAGATAGAATTCTTGTGGTTTTTTCTCTCTTTCTCTCTCTCTCTCTCTTTCTCTCTCTCTCTCTCTCTTAGGATATTATCCATTTTCAAGTTAATCGATTTTATTAATACCTATTATGTTCCATTGTACACTAATTCCATACGCCCAAGCGCTCCCTTTCAACGCTACTTTTCCTTTTTTCTCACGCGGATAAAAATCAGCTTGAAATAAAACCGGAGCAAAGAAACAACAACAAAATTGATTTATTTTATTATTTCGAAGATAAGTATTGATTCCACGTTAATTGCATTATTTACTTTTTTTTTTTTTTAATATATGTATGTGGTTGATATTTTATTCAGTTGATTAATTCGCCTTAAAGTGGATGAAAGAAATAAGATAGAAATAAAAGGAAAGAAAAATGACGCAAGGAGAGAGGAGGATGGAAGCAAGCAACCAAGCAAGCAAGCTCAGTCGCATACATAGGCAATGCCACGTGAGAACGATTTAGCACAATGACACTTGGCCGTTCGTCTGCGTCTGAGCAGCTATTAGATAGTATTGTTAATTCATCGTGCGGCTGACATTTCATTTGCGTGGGTACAATAGCACTCCAAGCTGGCAGATGCGTGAGAGAGAGAGAGAGAGAGAGAAAGAAAGAGAGACCGTTTTACGAGAAACGTTCACTTTGCTTTTTAACTTGAGAGGAAAAAAAAGATAACTGTGTATAATAATTGTAAATCTAGTATATTCGTTTTTTAAAATTTAACTCCTTAAATTACCAAACACGTGTTACTGTAATCTAAAATTATTGTACTTAAACATTTTCAATAGTTAGATGGTATTTTCAATAATAAAAATAATAAAACAATTTATGATACGTTTTCGTATAAATAACATTGATAATAATAGAATTATTTATTAAAATATTATTTGTATAATAATTTTAAACGTAGAATCTTGCATATTGATTCATTAACAGTATTGAATACTCGGCACGTAAACTGTGTGTGGTTTAAGAAACCAAAGGAAATTCCAAGGAATGAATTGTATTTCAGTGTACGTTTATAACTTTCTTCCTACAAACGGAAAGTATACCTCAGGGAGGATGCATGGCATACTTTTATCCTACGAGTACTACGTGTGTACATTTCTGTGCACGTTTCTCAATTCATTGTTCCTTTCTGTATGTGTATGCAACGTGATTTTTAAAAGGTAGAATAGAAAAACATCATGAGAAGTAATAATTTTTCTCAACGTTCAAGTGTAATACAAAGATGTTTGTTTCTTTTTTTCTGTTGTTGTTGTTGTTGTTGTTGTTAAAAAGGTAAAATATAAATAATTTAAACGTGTATTCGAGCTTACCTAAATCCAAGCATCGATGGCACGGTATTGATGACAGTATAAAAATGGCAATGAGTAGTAATCTTCGATGTTTCGAAGATAAATCCGAAACTAGAGCAAAAACCGACATGTCACCGACGACCTGGGACGCACCGTTCCAAACGAGACGTTCCTCATCACTGACTATTGCCGATCCTGAACCGGTTCGGCCATTGAACATGTCCCTGGCATACTTGTAACTGTGACGAACTGTTAATTGTCCGCCAATAACCTGTGCAGAAAATAAACGGTACACGTTATCATCTACAATACAATGATATTATTACATCAACAAGTTTAAACAAAACTCAACCTAAACTGTGATATGAATCCTTTGGTAGTCTACAACTCCAATAATATTTCATATCTATATACCACAAATATTAGGTTACTAAGAAAAGTTTCTCTATTGTTTCTAGGTTTCCGTATTATTTACATTTCTATTGATAAAAACGTCGTAAGACTTTTTGATTATTTCATAATATATGTATAATTGAAATTATTTATTTATTAAAAATATTCGGATAAATATATGTGTATTATATATTTTATATTACATTTACATATTAAATATATATATAAAGGATAACATAAATATATAAAAAAACTTAGTTTTTAAATATAAACAAACAACAACTTTTTGCTTAATTTGAATTCCCAGAAATTATTCATGAATATTAATTTCAATTCATTAAATAGTTTAGAACTATATTAAATCAACGTTCTACAACAAGACCACAGCAACGCGTGGTCGGAGCATCCTCTAGTTGTAATATATATATATGTATATATATATTTATAAATATATTTTTAGCATATTATTTTTAACAGGTTGGAAAGAAAAATAAAAATAAAAATAAAAATAAAAATAACTTGTCTTATGAAAGCTTAAAAATCAGTAGTATCGATAAGACATATTCTTTTATTATTTCATTCGAACACACAAAAAGAGAAAGAAAGAGAGAGGAAGAGAGAGAAAGGATATATGTCTACACCTTGGCAAGAGAGGGTGAAAACTATTTTATTCGATGAATGCGAGGTCGCAGCAACGCCCGTTAGATCCTCCTATCCCAGCCCATTTATACTCGCCTCACACGTAGTCAGAGAAAGGGTGCGCTTACATAAGGCAAACGTAGAGAGACACGCGCACCATCATCGTCCTTGGTACAACACACCATCCTCCACTGAAGCAATCCCTCGTATCTCGCGAGTCCGGACTTAGCTAGGAAACTGCAAGATATTCCGACCGCGTCGACCCACATTGAAAGTTTCCTCGAATGTACGTAACTACGCAGGTAGAAAGACGCGAATGTCGTTCACCTTCTATCCCCATAGATAGAAGAGAGAACATAGAGATGGGTGCTTGCCTTTCGTACTTGAAAACTAGGACAACGACAACGTGTATCAAAAAAGAAACTAGAAGAATGATCATTGAAGAATAAGACGTGGATGGATTACTATTATTATTATTATTTTTTTTCTCTTAAAATATTATATATACAATATTTTTTTTAATTACTAATTTCTTAATTTTAAGTAAATATTAAATATTACAATTAAATATTAATTTTATTAATTATAAATAACTTATAAATTTAATTACTTTAACTTATATACATTATGTTAATTTATTTATTATATTATATTTATTATATTAATTTAACTTATGTATATGTTTTTTAGTTTAATTTTTATACACATTAAATCTTATCTATTTTAAAAAATCAGATCTACATTAAAGAAATGTAAAAAAAACCTTCTGTAAGAGATTAAAACTAATAATATATATACATAGATAAATAATTGAAAAAAAAAAAAAAACAGAAAGCTTTACGAATGAATGATTTTAATCTTAAAAAAAAAAAWTCGTAACTTATATTATTATATATAAATATACCTAACTATGAAATCGATAAGACACACATTTATTATTTTTCACTTTTAATGAAAAATTCTTTTAAAAGCTTATGAAACCCTTTTTTAATCTTTCCTCCCTTTATGAGAGTAATATAATATATGCACTTACAAAGGACCCCAATGTGTGTAATAACGTTGAAAGTGATCCTACTTTATCTTTTTATCTCATTCATCGATTTGTCAAGGCGGAGCAGCTAGTATCTGGCTTGGTTATGAAAAAATCTGGTCTGCCCGTTTGCTAGATCGAACGAACGAACGAACGAACCTACTACGTACCAATTGAAGTGAATCGATGATGGAAAGGGTACATGGAATCTTTCTAAGAGGAGGGAAGGGGGAGGGTCGGGCGGACGACGATGCTAGACGAGATGCGACTTCGTCGAAGCTTTTGTATGCACTCGATAACCCGTGCAGAACAAACAAGCCTACGAGACACAAAAGAAGAAGAAAGAAAGAAAGAAAGAAAGAAAGAAAGAATGAAAGAAGGAAAGAAAAAGAAAGAGTTGAAAAGAGGACTATACCGTTCAACGAACGAACGAACGAACGAACGAACGTAGGTAGGTAGGTAGGTAGTAGGTTCCTCTCTTTCTTTTCTTCATTCCACATGCCAGAGTACTGTCATTACCCTGCATGAACAGAGAAAGAGAGAGAGAGAGAGAGAGAGAGAGAGAAAGGTAGAGGGGGTGAAAAAGGGAAGAAAGGAGATGTAAACAGAACGATTTTGCGATGCAAATTTCATTCCGTTTCTCTCGAACATATATTCACTTCTTTTTCTTTTCTCTCTCTCTCTCTCTTTCTCTCTCTTTCTTCTGTCTTTTTCTTTCTTTCTTTCTTTCTTTTTCATTCTCGTTTTAACCCTCTTCCCACCAAGTTACTAGTCTCTTTAAGTCGATTCTTTTTCTTTATCTTTCTGCCCCATGCCACCCTTATTTTTTACGTTGTCTACGTTCCTACCACCCTCCTTCAACTCCTTCCCGCCATCACCTACGTCGTATCTTTATCTCGTGCTTTCTTTTTTTTCTTCTTTTTTTTTTTTTTTTTTTTTTTTTCTTCCTTTCTTCCGTTCTTCTTTGTCCTGTGTTAGGTGTTGCCAAGCACTTTTCAAAGTTATCTCGACGCCCTCGCTNGATTCTTTTTCTTTATCTTTCTGCCCCATGCCACCCTTATTTTTTACGTTGTCTACGTTCCTACCACCCTCCTTCAACTCCTTCCCGCCATCACCAACGTCGAGGTTTTCCCCCTTCCCTTGTCTTCTTTCCCTTACTTTCTTTCTTTCTTTTTTATTTCTTCCTTTCTTCCGTTCTTCTTTGTCCTGTGTTAGGTGTTGCCAAGCACTTTTCAAAGTTATCTCGACGCCCTCGCTTGGACGGACATGCATTTTCGTGGTTAGCACTGATTTTTACTAGGAAAAAAAAAAAAAAAGAAAGAAAAAGAGAAAAGAAGAAAAAGAAAAAAAAAAAAAAAAAAAAATAGAAAGAAGGAAAAATAAAAAGGCCAGTCCTTTCTACCATTGTCTACCGTTTCTCTACAGGAAACGAACTTGTTCGCAATCTTGAAAGGTGGTAAGGGAGAAAAAGTAGGGTAGATCGAGAAAGGATGAGATCGAGAAAGAAACAGAGGGAAAGTGAAAAAGATTGAAGAAAGTGAGAGAGAGAGAGAGAGAGAAAAGTAAGAGGAGGAACGGTGATGGAATTAATTAGGAGACGAGGAAACCTTCTTTCCTACTCTCTTGAGAACCTTCCCATAGTGGAAAAGCTGACTCATTTTCGTCCTTCGAAGGATCCTTACCAGCCCCCTTCCTTTTTCTCCTTCTCCTGCTTTTCCTTCTTCTTTTTTTTTTTCTTAATTTCAGATTCACTTAGTACAGTTCGATTTTTCGTATCTAAAGGGGCAGGGGGTGGGTGGGTAGGTGGGCGGGGGTAAGGACTGGGTAAGAACGCGAATGAGAATCGAAGAAAATAATTAAAAGCAGCGTTGAGAATATTTCTTATTAAAAGGATCCGCTAGATAAAAGTTTTGAAGGATTTCAACGTGGGTGGATCCTTGAACTACAGTGAGTGGACTTTATGGATTATGGATAAAAGTTTGGAAAGATCCGTTTCGACAAATACTTATCTATCTCTCTTACGTTCACGAGGTATGAGGATGAAATCGAACGTTCGTACTGGCTATCGTTAAAATGTTGAATAATTTTTTGTTTGTTTTTTTTTTTGTTTTTTTTTTGTTTTCTTTTCTTTTTAGATTTATCGAGAACGACGAGTAGATGAGTAAGAACTGTTTGAAATCGTGATATCTAGCTGGCAGAATTGAATCGAGCTTTGTAGGATGAATCGGTGGAATACCAAATCGATGGAAATCTTTTCATTGAAATGGCACTGCTAACGGTTGAAGTTTCAGCTTGAATAGAATTGTCTAATTGTAAGTTTGCTAGTTACCTAATTCTGGTCGTCGTAGTCGTTGTCGTCGTCGTCGTCGTCGTCGTCGTCGTCTGTGTGGACGTACTCAAAAGTTTTCACTTACTTCACTCGTTGAATCGTAGAATAAAACTATTTCCGAATGGAAAAACTACACTTTACTTATTTTTAATCTTTGATCAATCCCCTTATCCGTAAAGTAAAATCATTTTTCAATCTTACGTAATATTTTCAACTATCAATAGTATTAATTTTACTGATTGAAAAATAATTTAACAAATTTTCTAAATTAATCTGATTAATACAAGCATGAACTATAATAGATAAATATTTTTTACATGTACGAGTATCTTAGATATCGGACATCCAATGATTTCGAATTTCTGCACATATCTGACAAATAAATATGATATATAGTTTTACATATTTCATACTAAAATTCATAATAATTAATTCACTAACAACAGTATTGCATTCTTGAAAAAAAAATAACAGTAACGATTATCGTCTTTTTCTAACGTTTTATATAATTCATACTAATTTATAATTTACAATATACCCGAGTCAAGCGCCATCCGTTAAAAGAATAACACAATGGGATAGTGCACTTTAGAGAACGGTGCTTTTAAAATACGCACCAATCCACAAATCGAAACGAGACTTGATTCCAAAGACTCGTTTGATAGGACGAAAGTCCTTTTCTTAAAAGTTAGATACAGAAAAAGGGATTCAGTTAGAATCTCGTGATGAATTATTCGGTTTGTAGCAATCTTTGGTCTGTCTTGTGTTTTCTAGCCACGACACACAAGGATTTTATTTATTTCTTTATGTCTTCTACCATTATCTTTTTTCTTGCGAACGATTGCACTTTCTTCGAGGAATTTGTCGATAAAGGAAGAGA